CGGCCGTTCTCGGCTTGGAGGTCCCGCCCCCCCCTTCCCCCCACCCCCCTTCGGGTGTCGGGTCTGTTCTGAGGCGGGGCTGAGACAGCCACAGAGAGGAGGGGTGGCAGAGAAGACTTTCAGACTGCCTTTATTCTTCCGGATTATTTTGCAGATGAAAAGCATAAATGTGCGGTTCCTGATGAAGTAAAAATCTTAACAACGGTACTAATCAGTATTTGCATAATTAGCTTTCATAGATTCCAAAGTTGCTATTAGAAAGATAGATGTGAGTGTGTACGCAGGCTTGCAGCGAGTTTCAGAGATTTCTCAGCTGTGGTTGTTATGCACAGAAGCTCTGTTCTGCTATGGTCTTTTCAGCCGCGTCATTAAGAGGTAATTACTGCTAACCTAAACATCAGCGTGTCTTAACACCTCGCAAAACAATTTGTGTGGAATATTGCAGGAAGGAAGAGAAGGGTAGCTCTGAAATCCGCACCATCTCAAACAGCGCAGCTCCGTCCTTCTGCGGGTTCCACACCTGCCCGAGAGCTGACTTGATGTAATGCTGGAAAAAAAGCGGTTTTCAGGAGCCGATTAAAGGAGATGGTAAATCTAAACACCAGCATTCTTCCTGAGATATATTCATAGGGATTTGTGTATTTCACAAATTACCTGCCTCGGTGGCTGAAACACCATACGAATTATGTACGCACCCCTTCTTGGTATTTACTCCCACTGGAGGCACAGTGTGACATAAGGGTCGTCAGTATTAAAACTGACTTTCTTTGGGGCTATAAATGAAGGCAATGTGAGATGTGTGCAATAGAGAGGGGCGTGCAATGAACAGGAAGGAATGAAAGGTATATGTATGGATTGGATGGCAAGACTGCTCTGAAACTGCGTTTAAATGTCACCTTGTTGTCAGAGCTGAAGCTCTCTCCCTGCCCACCAGCCGCAGATGCCAGCTCAGCTGGCGGCAGTGGATTTCTTTTTGGAGGAACCCAGCCAGAGCTGGGCTGCCCTGAGCACCAGGCTGCTGTGGGACGGCACCGCGGGGAGACAGAGCGTGGCTGGGTGCGCAGTGGGGCTGGCAAGGGAGGGCGTGGGCTGGGGGTACCTGACAGATTTTTTCCGGTTGGCAGAATTAGCAACACCCCAGGGTTGTCTTTTAACCAGGATAACCTTGTACTTCAGTAAACAGTGATTCAGGACTAATTCTTCTTTAGTAGCTGTGTCCTCAGTGAACTGCTGCTGCAGCCAATGAGAGCCCAAATTACAGCAGAGCTGGCTGATGAGGCAGATATGTGTTTGCAAACTTGATCGTCCTTTGTAACTTGCTATGGCTGTCTGATTCAAGATGCAAGACTGGAATTAAGCTAAAGTATATATATACACACACATATTGGGCCAGATCCTTGCTTTACACAGCTGGGGACACCTACACAGACTTGAGAGGTCTTGAGGGGAACCCAGTATGATCCTGCCTAGACCTGCAACGCTTCTGACAAGAGTTTGCATTGGTGGTGGCCTCCAAGTGAAAGGAGAGCCATGCGTGCTTATCTTGGGACAGCTTGCACCAGGTATGGGTGTGGGGAGCTTGTGAGGGCAAAGTGACCGTCCTCCCGCAGCCTGGGCTGGTCCTCGGGGATCACAAAGGTGAATTTCTGCAGGAGGGTGGTAAAGAAAATGAAGAGCTCCATCCTGGCCAGCTGCTCCCCCAGGCAGGCACGGCGACCTGCAAGAGAGGGAGGAGAAGGCGTCTGTGAAAGAGGACGTTGGGCTGCGCCGGAGCGGCTGCAGCGGTTGGAGCGGATCACCCCTCCTGCTGCGCCTCGGACGTGCAGCCGGACCCTCTGCTCAGACTTACCTGCGGAGAAGGGCAGGAAGGCCTCCGGTTTCACAAACTGCCCGTTCGCATCCAGGAAGTGTTCGGGGTAAAACTCTTTTGGTTTCTCCCAGACAGCCTCATCCTTCAGCACGGAAGACAAATTCGTGATGACTGTCGTCCCCTGCGCTCCCACACGAGAGGAAACAGCTCATGTGAGAACAGCAGCATTGTCATGCACAGTGTACCAGTGCTGGTCCCTCCTGTCTCGTGTCGCCCTCCTAATAGCAACCATCATTAGGTGCTTCAGAGTAAGGCACCGACCTCTTCTTTCGTATCTTATTTAAAACAGAGGTGAAGCAGGGCACTTTTCCAATGACTTATGGTGCCTGCCCTGTGCTCTGAGGCATCTGAACTCTTGTAATTTGTATCCATGTAAAGGCCATTGCATGCAAATGCCAATGTCACGGTTACACAGTGGAAGCAGCCCCTGCTTTGCAGATCTGCCTGGACTTGTTTTATAGCTGGAGGGAAAAAGCTGACCGACAGAATTCAAAGCCCAGCTTTCACGGGGGTCCATGGGAAATTGCAAAGCTTTCCTGTTTCACATGTCAATGTTCTAGGCTAGAGGAGATTTCACAAGGCTAAAAAAAAAAAAAAAATCCCAGGCTTGCATTGCTTCCAGCGCTGCCAGGGCAGTGCTCTTGCCACCTGTCACAATGGCAGTGGACTGAATGCCAGTGGCATTCGAATAGCTTCAGAGATTAGAGTTTTAGCTACTGCCTTCTTAGGAAGGCCAGCAAGCCGGTCTCGTGGGCCTCCAGAGAGCCCATTAAGCTCTGTTACTTTCTCCTTCCAACACAGGCAGGGCAGCGAATGTCACAGCTCGCTGAGAGGGAGGCAAACCTTTGTGCTCAGCTGCCGCTGCAGCTGGCTTCCCACACAACCAGCACAAACCTAGAGCACAAACGCGACCGGCTGCCTGCTCTTAGCATTTCGAAATGTCCTACTGCAGTGCTCGCCAGTGGCTGTGATTTGGGGCTGGAAGGGCAACGCTGCAAGGTTGCGTGGGGTCACCCACACCCCAGCGTTGCCTGTCTGGGCATGGTCACCTTGGGAATGAAGAAGCCTTGCAACTCGGTGTCCCGGTACGTCATGTGAGGCAGTCCAATAGGAACGATATCCCCGTAACGTTGCACTTCATGGATCACAGCATTGGTGTAGGGCATGCTCACTTGGTCCGTCATGGTGGGTGATCTCTCTCTGCCAATCACCTTATCGATCTCTGCTTGGACCTTACCTGAAAGCAGCATAGCTAAGGAATCAGAGTGCCCTTAGATAAGCAGAAGGCTTTCTTACAAGCTGTAGGAAAGCCGGTGGCACGAGATTGGTAGACACTGGATGAGAGCAGGACAAACAATTAGAGAAAGGAACAGAAACTAGAGGGGAATGCATTTGTTTTCTATTGCGCAGAGCCACCTGTACAACTATTCTTTGTGCATAGTGTCTTTAATAAAGGTCTTGTCACTCCACATGCTACTTTACTCCTCCTCTGTGCAGCTGAAAGGGTACCTGGGCATGCAGCACTGGAGAATTAAAACAGATTAGCGTCTATTCCAAATATTGGAAAGAGGGTACTCTGGCCACTGAAAGTTCCCCAGTAGCCTTCAAAATGAAGTTGAGAGCAAACTTGCCTTTCCAGCTCCAGTCTTTTTACCAGGGCTTCCCCCCTGCCAGCACAGCTATGTTTGGGAAGCGTTTCTCCTGGTTTCTGCTGGGCCAGCAATCACCAAAGCTGTTCCTCATTGCAAAATCCCCAAACCACGGAGAGAAGATGCTCAGTCGCCTTGCAGAAAAATGAGGGTTGAAGGGAAGACACCACCCCTCCGCCTGTCTTCGGACTTACTCTGTATTTCCGGGTGGAGAAGCATGTACAGCACTGCCCACCGGAGAGTGGTGGAGGTGGTCTCGGAACCAGCTGTAAATAAGTCTGCAGTCACCAGACGAAGGTTGTTGTAGTTGAAACCATTCTCTTCAGCAGCCTTACCCTGCAGAGAGCAAACACACGGGTGACTGGAGATGGAATACTTGCTGGGCGAGAAGACCATTGTTCCAGAGATGTACTGAGAAGCTCTAGGTCCATTTTTGCTGACCAAGAAGTGCATTGGTAGAGCACAACACAGGCAACAGCCTGTGTATGGCTGATGTACTTCAGTAACCCTGTTACCTCCTGTGTTTGAAAGTCACTGGTCACCTCCCGTATCCTGGAAGATGAAGGCTACACCTGGCTTCAGAACAGAAGCGAACACCTTGTGCTCTCAGCTCAGACAGACAGCAGGCCCATGCCACTTGCCGTAGCATCCTCCCCCAGAGGAGGTGGAACACAGTTATTCAGGTTTGATCAGATCATAAAACCCACGCAGCAGAGAGGAGGCTGCATTGATGTGGCAAAGGCAAAATTAGCAGTATTTTGAGGGATTTATCTATAGCTGTGCATTACGGATTCTCGCTGCTTCTGCCCTGCTATTTTCTTACAATCAAAAAAAAATATTGCTGCCTATTAAGTCTGCAACACCGATTTCAGCAAAACTGGTCTCTCGTCCAAATGCTAATTGAGCTCAAATTTGTTAGCATATGAGATATGACAAGAGCTCTGCATGAGTTCATCTGCTTGTCTTTTCTAATCCTCTTTGTACTTTTCTTTCCTAGGGACTAGCTTCTGTTAAGTTATTCGGTATATTTTGATGCTGTTGTAATATGGATAGCAATTAATCAGGCATTTAAGACTCAACTATTATTCCAATAAAAGATCTCTGGCAAGGGAGCTATGGGGCTGACCTCACCAAAGTTAACCCAGTAAAGGGATTTATCAGACTGGCTTATCAGGGGACCTCAGCGAACAGAAGAGAGATGTGACGAGGCAACACGGTCAGGCTCACATACCCACACACACAGTAGTGCTCAGTGCAGGGCAGCGTAGGTCACGTTGCTCTACCTGCGCAAGCTGGGGGGACTGATGCATGGACCGGAGGTGCCCGTGCCCACAGCGTGGCAGGGTTCATTCTGCAGAGCAGCAGCCCAGCCTGAGGGCTCGGATGGCAGAAGTGATTCTCGGGCAGAATTTGCTACTATTGCTGATCTGGCACTTGAAATTTAGTGAATCCATGCGCAGAAACATATGGTGGATGGATGGGCTGACGGGAGTACCTTTGATTTTATACTGACTTCATGCCTGACTGAATCAAATTTTAATTTCAGTGAGGTTCAGATTTAGGCTTTCATCTGATCTGTAGGGTACTAGTTCTTAGCAAGCAATTCAAAGACACACATGCCAAAGGAGATGTCATCTCTCTAAGTCATAACTTGGTTTAAAGGCAGGCTATGAACTGGGCAATGATACCAAAAAGCCAGTTGCTGCAGTTTTGTGGCTGATTCTGAGACATCAGTCGTTAAAGCCCTGACGTACACAGAGTCTTGCATGTTGACTTCTTCCCTGGTGCAAACTTAGAAATATTACTGAATTCTCCATCATTGCCTTTTAAATATCTTCAAAATAGTGTAGGCTGGGAAGAAAGGAGTTGCTGCACTCTGAGGGGAACGTGAAGGTAGAAAATGGGAACAAGAACACCAGCAGATAATATGGTCTCTTAAGACAATAGAGGAGGTTGCAGCATGAAGAAGTTAACACCTTTCTTCTCAAGATACAACATGGAATGAAAAAGTATGAAATCAGTTAGTAAGAGGTTTTATACAGATTTATGAGGAAAGTCAGCTTCTATTAACAAGCTTAAGCAGGCAGAGGAATTGTCCCCAGACCCTGCGGTTCTGCTGGTGTCATCTTACCTTCTTCATTTCCTTTAAGAACGCATCA